TATGGGATGAATACTATGACAGTCGTACCTTTCGAATGACAGAAGACTAGCTCCAGTCCCATTTTCCACATCATGGTCATAATATTACGGCTACAAATTATCTGAAAACTCGACCTCAGGGCACCTTAGAGTGCCGGGTACGCAGCACCGTCACCGCGCGGGTCACTTCCCGCAGACCACACGCCCGTCCCCTCAACCGTATCGACGGTATGTCTAATGATCTGCCCGCGGCCAAACAGCCCCCTCTCAGATCCGGTAACCACCTCAACCTTGTGCCCGAGCTTCCGCAGACCCTCCACCGTCTCCTCCGGCATGCCCTCCTCCACGCTGACAGTCCAGTCAAAGTCGGCGTCCCTCTCGGGCAGGCCCGCAACGATACACACGCGCGGCGCATCGAGCGTCTGCTGCGGCGTGAGACCCGCGACCAGCTGGCCGAGGAGGACCTGCACGTGGCCCTGGGGCTGCATGAACCCGCCCATGACGCCGAAAGCGCTGTGCAGCGACCCGTCGGCCGCATTGGTCACCATGCCGGGGATGATGGTGTGGTAGGGCCGCTTCCCGGGCGCCAGCCTGTTGGGGTGGTCCGCGTCGAGGCTGAAGTTGGCGCCGCGGTTCTGCAGCGTGAAGCCGCAGCCCTTGGGGATGATGCAGGTGCCGAAACCGCCGTAGTTGCTGTTGATGAAGGACGCGGCGTTGCCGTGCTCGTCCGAGACGGAGAAGTAGACGGTGTCGCTGCTCTGGAGGGCGGGGGAGACGTGTTTGGGGGGCTCACCGACGTGGAGCTTCTGCATGGCCTTTGTCGGGTCGAAGAGCTTTGCGCGGGCGGCCGAGTACTCGCGCGAGATGAGGCCGGCCGAGGGCACGGTGACGACGTTGGGGTCCGTGACGTACCAGCTCGCGTCGGTGAAGCCGAGGCGGAGGGCCTCGATGATGGCGTGGAGGTAGGGCGCCGTGTTGTGGTCTTCTGCGGACCAGGCGGGGACGACGCCCGAGTCCTGGAGCTCCTGGATGATGCCGAGGGCCATGAGGGCGACGATGCCCTGGCCGTTGGGCGGGTGCTCCCAGACCTCGACGGCACCGTCGCCGCCGCCGCCGGAAGATGCGCCGTTGGCCTCCTTTTGGAGGGCAGGCTTGAACTTGAGTGAGATTGGGTCGACGGGCTCGCTTCCCAGCTCGAGGTGCTGGGCCAGATCGTCGAGTTCCAGGTGGCCGCCGAGATCCTTGACGACCTTGACCAGCTCTTCGGCGATGCGCCCCGTGTAGAAGCCCTTCTTGCCCTCCTTTGCGAGAGTGCGGAAGGTCTGCGCCAGGGTGGGGTTCTTCATGATCTCGCCGGGGTTGGGCGCTCTCACGCCGTCTGACGCCTTGGGGTCCTTTTTCAACATCTCTGCAAAGTTAGGAGACGCCTCTCTGATCTGAGGCTCTGCTGTGTTCCACTATCAAAGGTTTCAGTAACCACATCTAGATAATTATCTACACACGACTTGAAATCTGGGATCATAGAAGATTTGAGAACGTACGTAGTGGCTCGTCAGCTCCGAGACGGGGAATCCCTTCTCTCCTAGCTCGATAGCCGGGGACAGCACACGCTCGAGGGAGACCTTGCCGCTGCCAAAACGCTCAATGGTGTCGACCCAGCCTGAGGCGGCACCGGGGACGGTCACGGCGTGGACGCTCTTCATGGGGATCTTGCCCGATGCGCCCTCCTTGATGCCGAGGTCCTTGCGGATGGTCTCGAGCGTTGACTTCTGAGCCGAACGGCCGGAGCCGTTCATGGCCGAGACCTTCTTGGTTGCTGCATCGTAGAAGAGGATGAACATGTCACCGCCGATGCCAGTGGAGCACGGCTCTGTCATGTTCAGTCCGGCAGCTAGAAACAAGGCATATTCATTAGCGATCTGGTTTCACTTTTCAAAATGATTGCTTCATTTCGAGGACGCCGATAAACCGGGTGGTTCGACTAACCAACTGCAACGGCGGCATCCTGATCACTTGCTGTTAGTCTTGATCGTGGATATATTGACTCGGCAGAGTGAGGCGCGACTTACAGCGGCATTACCGCCAGCTTGGAGAATTTCGATACCGCATTTTGCGGCCAGCGGCTGCGTGCATGATACGATTCCCTTTGTGCTGTGAACGACACTCCGTCGGCTAGCGAACTTTGAGAATTCGCTTGCTTGCGCCGAGTGGAGGGACTCGCTGGTGAGGGGCATGGTGAGTCGCGCGCGGTGCGGGGTTATCGATCGCGATAACCGATAGGGAACGGTGGTGATGATGAGATGGCGGGGCAAGTCTGAATAGGGGGCCAGAGGACGTATTATGAGATGAAAGGCGATGTTGTTTCAGTTTCTTTGGGAGAATAAATAATCAAAGGTCAATGATTTGTATGAGACCTCTGAAAAATGTAGATGGCGTCTGTCAAACAAGGGCGTAATGTGCAGCGAGTTCGGAGATGGGAATGCGCAAGGACAGGTACACAGATAGATTAGTCCCCCTTAGTCCGGGTCCAGGTTTTCGGGGAATCTAGCCGATGAAGAGGGATCAGGTTGTCCAGTCGACGGGGGATATAATGCCGGTAGTCGGTTAAGGAGGAGCAGCAGTCAATAGGATAGGTCAGAACTTGAGCGTTGAAGATATAATGATCCTGTACGTAATGCCTAGGTTCAGGCTTCCCAGGGTGGTTACCGAGAGAGGTAGGTCGATAAGTGAACGGCGCGGTACGGAGCAGGATGTGGACGGGGAAAACTGGCGCTAGTGGAGTTTGTGCTCCGCATGAGAAGCCCACCCGGGGTAGATGCCGAGAAATGAGGATGCTCGCGAAGTTGGCAACTCAGTTGACAAAGTGAGTAGTGCGTGAGTTCAAGTGTCCCGAGCGAGAGTGAAGTATGGATGTCGACACGGGGCGCGGAGGAGTCTTGAGTGATGACTTTTGATTTTCAGAAGAAAGTCTGTTTATTCAAGTGACATGTTGCACGTCCTTCATTAGCTAAGTAGCCAAGATGGAATGGCAGATGGAGGAGAACAACTTATATAAGCCATCCTTAGAATGTATTTAGGTCATTCATTACACGTGGGACTATCCCACGCGGTAGGACATTGTCAGACAAGCGCAGGGAGGGAGGGGTTCTCTCAACATCTCAAGTATCCGGTCTGGGAAGAAAAGACCCCGAAACGGTCTCTTTTCAGCACTGGCGTTCCCACTGTAACGCCGCACCGGCGGCCGCCGCCGGCAAAAGGTCCGAAACTCGGGGCTTGTTTCAACGGCGCCAGTGTGGCATTGTAGCACGGTCGTCAACGATGGAGGAAGTGCAGTGGTAGTTGTAATCAGAGCAGCAAGTTGTCAAGCGAATGGGGAAAGTCTAGAAATGAGAAATTGGAATTATTGAACTTTCTCATGTACATCCCATCCTTTTCCAGCAGTCACTTGGGTTCGTCATCCCATGTTCTTGCCCGTCTTCCTTGTTATGCCCTCGGCGTCAGAACCTCATGACCAATCACCCAATCCAGTACTGCACTCTTCCGTCATATAGCAAGTTGGACCCAAACAGGCGGATCATCCCGCCGGTTGTAAAAGCCTACGACTGCGAACTGACACCCCGAAACGTGGGTCTGATCCGAATAACGATCGCGAGCCCAGCCAAGCCGGACTTTTAAACTCCTTGCCCAGAGAACTAGAACCAAATAGCCCAGACACCCTTCTGCAGGAAGAAAACCTCGTCTTCTAGAACGAACTCAAAAATAAGCAGTACTGGATGGGCGCAGGGATGGGAGCTCTAATTCGCATCAACCGGCTCTCCCCCTCCAACTCAATCAAGACCTCCATCTTCTCCAGAGCAGAGGAAGAAAAGGACAGCGTGTCAGTGATTCGCCGTTGGAAGAACCCCAATGAGGGCAGCCTATGCGATGAAAGTGTTTCAGCTCATCTAGGTGTTCTAATTGCGCTTGTCGTCTTTTGTCCAACATGTTCATGCAGCACTGACTCTATACTGCACACGTCGTCTGGTCGTCAGGATGATTGGGCAGTCACATGCTTGTGACATTGACTGACCTACTAATGTGTGCGTGAGGCAATCGAGATCGTTCCTCACACTTTTGGCTCTCACGCTCCACCAACTCTTGAGTCTGGCCGTAGTCTCGTAGATGCTGGCACCATCTCTCAAAGAATCCGTCATTCTAGGTAACACCTCTTGCTCTGGCCTGGGAAATTGCTCAACCTGCGATTGGCTCGACAGCTCATGTGAGAAACAGACACTGACAATCTCTTCAATACAACCTCGATGGCCTTGAAACAACGTTGATTTCCTAAAGTTGCATCCGGGTACATTATAATGCTACCCACATACCTCTGGAGAATTTCTCTCTGAGCGCTGTCAGCTCATTGTCGTCCGACTGATACTTCGCGACTCGAAACCTCGAAAACTGTGGTCAGCGAGCCAGCTGGTCTCATGTTCTTGTCTTCTGATGTTTTTGCAATGTCCCATAGAATTGGCGAATCCAACTTGAGATGGTGTCTCCCAACTTCGACCCGGTGCGCTTTGCGTCTCTAGCCCTGATGCTCTAGTTTGATCTTTGGAAACGAAGGCCATTGGAATGATATGATGAGGGAGCATCTACCCTGATGTCGAATGAGTTGACTCTGCCCTCGCAACCGACGATACTGAAGCCGTAGTGGACAGTTTGCTTGATCATCTGGGGCTCTAGCGTCTATTCACAACATAATTGACTGATAAGAGTTCTTATAACAGGGAGTTTTGAGATGCGTACCTAATACTGGACTACCAGCCGCATTATAGAAGATTAAAGTTACTGTGACCTGCGTAAGCAGGAGGCTATTCAGGGGTACCCTTATCATTCAACATCGAACTTGGCTTTTCTTTTGTTCGGGCTGGTTAATAACGACTATCTACAAACCTATCAGGTCATGTCTAGCGCGAATCCCTACATTGATTTCTCTCCTTGCTGGATCTGCGCACTCCTTTGACAGGATTCATGTCAATTGCTCATATCTTGAATCGGAATCCATGCGCCGCCGCCTCTCCCGGCGCAGCATTGATAGCCCCCTCGACGTGCTCCCCCCTCTCCAACTTGCGATTCAACCCCACCAACACAAACCTCAATACCGTCGCCGCGCAAATGGCAATAAAGCACGCAACGCAGTTGTGAATAAACGCCGCCGTGTACTGCGGGCTATCCTTCTTGGGGTACAAGTAACTCGCGTAAATACTACTGCAGTTACTAACGGCATTTATAAACGCCAGCGCGGCGGCTCTCTTGGCGGGAGGGCGCGGCAGGGTGTTGCTGATCCAGGCCAGCGCCGTGGTGTAGCCCGTGTAGACGCCGGGAACGAGAAGCATCATGGCGACGTAGCGCGGGGCGGTCGCGTGCGTTGCGGCGCCGAGGATGAAGGCCGCCATGGCGACGCAGAGGGGCACGACAATGTGGAAGTAGCGCTCGCCCGTGCGGTCGGCGTGCCAGGCGTTGATGCAGGTCGTGATGACGCAGAGAACGTAGGGCGGGCAGGTCAGGAGGAGGGAGATTACGGAGTTGTAGCCGAGGGTCTGGACGACGGTGGGGAAGAAGTTTGTGATGGAGGCCGAGGCGACGATGCAGAAGATGAGGACCAACTGGAATAAAGTGTGTTAGTCCATGCAAATGAGGGAAGAGTGGGAATATGGCTTACCAGAATCCACGTCTTGACATCCTCCAACGCCGTCTTGAACCCGTGCCAAAACGTCTGCTCCCCGCTATTCTTCCAATCATCCTCGCCGATATCCTCCTCCAGCCTCCAGACCGCGAGCGCCGTCTCCTCCTCGCTCAACCACGACGTCGTCCGCGGAAAATTGGGCAGCACAAAAAAGGCCGCAAACGCAACGCCGACGGTCACGACCCCTTCGATGAGGAACAGCCACTGCCAGGCGCCGAGCCCGCGCGCGCCGTCCATGTTGCCCGTGATACCCGCCGAGATGAGGCCCGAAAAGGCGCCCGAGATGAGGGAGCCTGTGTAGAGAATTGTCGTGCGCAGGCCGAGCTCCTCGCGCGTGTACCAGCAGGAGAGGTAGTACAGGCAGCCCGGGAAGTAAGCGGCCTCGACGAAGCCGAGGACGAAGCGGATTACGAGGAGGCCTGCGTAGTTGCGGCAGGCGGCTGTCGCGGCGGAGATGACGCCCCAGATTACCATCTGTAATTTGCGTTTCGTTAGCAATTTATGGAATGGCATTTGATTGTACGGTTTCTGAAGTGGAATAAGCGAGTTCCTACTTACACATGTTGGCAGGTACAGCGCAGGCTTCCCAATCTTATTGAGAAACAGATTCGAAGGCACCTGCATGAGAAGATATCCGACAAACAAGATACTCACAGCCGTCTGGAACTGGTTCGAATTCGGGTCGAGATTGAGATCCCGCTCCAAACCCGCCAGACGCGCCGCGGCGATGTTGTTCCTGTCAATGTAGTTCCTACGAATTCATAGGTCAGCAGATACTCTCGGCCAAGAACCGCAAAGCAACATTGTATTTGCGAGAAAAATAATTAGAATAACAATCTCCTTTCTTTACTTACAAGATGTACATAAGAACAATCATGGGAAGCAAGCGAATGTCCACCTTGCGCTTCAGCTTCTTCTCAAGCTCGACGCGGTATTCATGCGACATGGCCGCGACAATGGGCGGCGGCTGCAGCCCGCGCCTCTCGGCTTCGAGAGAGAGCTTTGGCGGCACATCTTCCAGGTCGCCGGCGCGGTGTTCGTGATGTAGTGAGGCGTGGTCCACCTCGGACTGCTTCCCGTCTGCCATCTTTATTCCCCCAACAGTTGTCGTGATCTTTGGGGGAGCCTTCCTTGGAGAGTTGTAGATTGGACGGACGGTTGATTCGGGGTCTGTCTGCCCTCACAAGAACACTTCGTTTCACTCCGTCTCGCTGGTGATTGAGTATGTGCGTGACAGTAGTCCCGTCCTCAAGTAAGGTACTAGTAGGCGATGTTTTAACTCAATTGCGCAGCGGACCTACCTCTTTTTTAACTCCGCACATTACCCCAGATATGGCACATGGCTTCCCGCAGCGGAAAAAGCGAAAAGAGCGGCATGCATGGGTGGTTTCGTCCCAGCTTTTCCCCATGTCGGGATAATCACCGTTCCACTACCACCCCTCTGAGCGATGGGGTTACATATTCCCAGCCATTCACAATCGAGACCGGGGGAAAGTAGGTACTGCTTCTTGACTGTAGTGATGAAGATCTCTCCACTAGCTCTTCGTTACTGTATTCTCTCCGCATCTCCAAAGTAGTCCCCGCGGCGGTAGTCGACATCGGTCCGATAAGTACCGACTGACCTCCTCAGTCATGGCGAAGTGAATGCTCACACACCAGTGATGGAAGAATCATCGAAATATGTCTCGTTGAAAGACAAGCTATGAGATGTCAGGTGAGTAACAACCGAGTGAATCTATGAAGCTGCATCCGAATCCTTTTCCCAACCACTCGGCATCGATCACTAATTGCTTTTTTCCTCATCAATCTACCAACCTATCAAATCACACGACATCATACGAAGAGTATCAAGCCAAGACTCCATTTTTCGTTCTCGCGTTCGGAGTAAGAGTCCAGAAACAGAAAAGCACCAAATGACAGCTCAGCGTTAAGCTTGAAATGCAAACGGCTCGTTGGCCCCTAGGAGATCCCCACGCACGGAAAAGCGTTCACGTATCCATTCCATGACCATCCGAAATCCGGGGTTGGAGGCGAAATGATGCGGGGAAATGGGGGGAGAAGCGCTGGGAGTCGAGACGAATGACCGGGGTGGAGGGGCGGAGTAACTCCGCAACCATTTGCGGAAACCAAGTTGCAAGATGTATATCGAACGATTGCGGTGAAAGGGGTTACGCCAGAAAGAAAGGTTGAGTTCGGGGCGATGACGGCACCCGAAAGGGGAGCTTTGGGGGCGACAGCTTTTTTGCTGTGCCGCATGGGAACGAAGAAGCTTGATCTCTGCTCGTGACCAATCATGTCGATAACGCAGATAATTCAAGCGAACTACCCACGGAATTCGACATGTTGGCAGACTGGTCGTTGGGATATTGAAACGAATGACGGCATGGTTTTGGGTCTGTCTATCTCATGATTGGACCGGCTCTACGAGTACATATTGGGGGTGTTCAGCTAAAGCCGGCACATGGGCCGGCACGGCACCGAAACGGGAACCGAGCGTCTCCACAAAAGACCAAGAGGGTATGTTCCACTTTACCGGCTCGGCACTTTAATCAAGATGGAAAGCCGAGCGGAACCAAGCTTTCGGCCCAGACTTGCGGCTCCGCGGGGGCCGGACGACCGGCGAAGCCAGACAACACCGGGGTGGGGGGGGGGGGGACTAGAGTGCCGGGGCCGAATAATTCGCCAAAGCAATGAGGTAAAGCAAACAAAATCATCAATCAGACATTGATTCGGCCATTGGAGAGCATTCCATGGGGTTGCAACCTTTGTATTATGATTATATATACAAGATAGGAGAAATAAGGAATGTACAAAAAACAATTACTGTGTGTTTACCCAAAAACTCCCGGATTAAGAGATGGAGATCTGTGACATAGGAGAACATTTCATGACGTTATTTGTCGTTTGTTATGTGCAAGAGTGTTGAAGTGTGTGCATGTGTGCGTGTGTGCAGTGGATGACCGGGCGGAGATGGAGCGACTTAGACACCAGAGTCCTCCTGGTGAACAGACTCCTCCTCGGCATAGGTCCTCCAGTTGGCGCAGGTGCTGTTGAGGGTATCCTCGTTGGTGATGGCCGCGATCTCGGTGGGACGCTCGATGAGCTGGAGCGCGAAGCCGAGGGAAGTGTGCCAGCCAATCTGTGATAATGTCAGTATATGGGAAATCGAAAGTGTATTGAAGGGCGGCGAAAAGGACTCACGTGGCAGTGCATCAGCCAGACACCTGGGTTGTCGGTGTAGAATCCGATGACGAGGTACCCGGAGCCGGGCAGCATGGCGACGTCGCGGCGGGGCGCGTTGACGGTCTGCAGTGCGACGGAGGAGTCGTAGGTGCCCGTGGCCTGGGCGAGGACCCAGAAGTCGTGGCCGTGAAGGTGGATGGGGTGGGCGAGGCCGATGGGGTTCTGGATGATGAAGTGCACCCAGACGTTGGCCTGGTCGAGGTGGACGATGTTTTGCTGGGTGGAGAAGGTGTCGTTGCCTCCGAGGACCTGTTCGACGGCTGGTTGTCAAATGTTAGTATCATATTGCCGTTGCATATTTGTGGAAGGGAGGCTTACTAGGGTAGTCCCAGTCGGAGAGGAAGGTGCTGTTGTTCAGAGTCCACTTGAACTGGCTGCTGACGGTCTGGAGACCGACGGTGAGGGTGTCGTCGTAGGTCTGCTGGCCGGCTTCGAGAGCGACAACAGGAACGAGGTTGGACATGCTCTCGTCGAGGCAGTTGTCCATGTAAGTGTGCGCCTCGGAAGTGGGGTCGGCAGTGGAAGTAGAGTCGTAGCGGACGATGCCCTTGATGTCGAGCGTGTTCTCGTTCTCACTGCAGGTGAGCTGGGGGATGGCGCGGAGCCAGTAGTCGCCGGTGCTCTCGGTGGCGCGGACGATAACGTCGTAGCGCTGGCCGATGCCGATGGAGACGGCAGTGGTGTTGTAAGGGTTCATGGGGACGAAGTCGGCCGAGATGACCTCGAGAGTGTGGTTGTCAACCATGAACTTCCACATGGTGTCGATGGCGGCGTTGACGAGGCGCATGCGGTAGGACTTGCCGGCCTCGAAGGCCGTGGTGAAGCGGGAGCCGGCGCCGTCGTACATGCCTGTGCCGTTGATGAGACCGGTCTGGGCGCGGGGCGGGCCGTTGCTGGCGGCTTCTTCGTAAAGCTCGTCGGTGGTGCGGTGGAACCAGTCGCTCAGAACGATTGTGCCGAGATCCTCGTCGTAGGGGGCCGAAGCGGGACCGTGGACAATCATTCCGCCAAAGACACCGTTCCTGTTCGAGCTTGTTAGGTTCATGTCGAGAGATGCGAAGCTTTGTGGAACAATGATCTTACCAGGCCTGGAGAGCAAAGTGGCTGTGGTACCAGGACGTGCCGTACTGGGAAGCGTGCCAGGTGTAGGTGATGGAGTCGCCGGGAGCAGTAGGGCATTGAGTGATGGAAGCAACGCCGTCAGCCTCGTTGGTGTAGTTCTGGCGGATACCGTGGAAGTGAATGCTGGTGCCGTTGTTCTGAAGAGAGTTCTTGACGTGGACGACTGAGATGATGATGTTAGTAAACTCAAAAACACCTTAAGCTCCTTGATATCAGAAACACTTACCAACAGTGTCACCCCAGTCAGCAATGATGGTAGGTCCAGGAACAGTTCCGTTGATGGAAAGAACCATGCGCTCAACGCCGTCAGGAGCCATGGTGGTGTTCGTGACCTCGAACCAGTACTCGCGGATGACGCCCGTGTTGGGAGCCTCCTCGTACCAGTTGGTCGAGAGATCGTGGGTGCCATCCCAGCAAGAAGGGTTGAGGGCGGAGTCAAAGACGCAGTCTTGACGCTTTTCAAGTGTGCTCGGAGCAGCAGACGAAGGGGCGCCTGAGATCAAGGCAGGGAACAGGAGCGCGAAGCATCCTAAAATTGAGCGTTTATACATGGCGAGAAGCGATGTACTACAGAACGAATGTAGAATAAACGATTGGAAAGTTTGAGAATCAACGAGTGATTGTGTGAGAAACTGCCTCAAAAACGAATGAAGGCAAGATGATGATGGAAGGAAGGAAGACCGAGGCTTGAAGAAGCGAGTGATGGTGGCTAAGATAACTTTCACTCCAGAGACGGGCAGACTTGCCTCGTCTTATAGAAATCGAACACGAGCTTTCGAGCCCATCACGAACAGACAGGCTGGACGAATAGAGGGTCTCTCTCGCCAAGTTTGACGCCGTCTTGGCTAGAACGAGATACCCCGATTGTGAATCACTGAATTCGCAATCCCAACTTGCAGCGTTCCCTTCGATGTTGCGCTCTGAGGGCCTAGTTCGGTGCCAGAGGCCGACCACCCCTGACTCGAAGAGACGGCGCGCCCACATCCACATGGGAGGCACATCGCTCGTTCGACCAGGTAGGTTTGGTGAGATGTGAAGGAGGAGTGTCGTCGGTTACTCGGCCGCTCGGCCGTGACATCGACTCCGGTGGACGAACTCCATGCTTGGCTGGCAACTATCGAACATTGTGCCTATACGAGGAATCGGTACCCTTGTCGAAAACCAACGTTGAGAGAAAAGGAGGGTCTGCTGTCAGTCACAAGGATCCATGCTGCGCTCACTTTCTCGCTTTCTGCTGCCGAAAACCATCGTCGGGCGTTGTTTCCCTTATTCCGGTGGGCCACTTTGACGAACCCCCCCTCCCCTCCCCTGAGCCCAGTTCGATATGGATGTCCTACATGGATCATGTAAGCCTGCATATAGGCGCCATTCCGGTGAATATGTGCGTTGAAATTTGCAGCTTTGTCAAAGGAGGCAGGGCAAGAGAGGTCCCCATATTCTTGGCCCGTCATGCCCTCGTCTGAAGTTCAGGCGGCTAGGCAAGTAAGACACCGGTGAGGGTGGGAACAAGATGGAGATTTGTCGTTGATCGCCAAGTCCGTCCACATGCTTAGTCGATTCAGAATGAGGTTCGTCTACGACTCTCTCTGTAGTCAGCGTCTTCTTTCCCCATCGAAACAAGTGCTCGAAACTGGCTGACGCGTATCTGTAGCCCGTACAGGCTACAGCAGACAGGCAGGACTATCGAAACCGTGCTTGTGTGGCTGCATTAGCCCCGCGGGTACGGATACAGAGTGTCATCAGGCCCGAACCCCGTGCGCCGTTGTTTCTTCTGCAATGGATTACTCCGAACGAAGCGAACGAAACATGGAATGACATTGACGTCTTCCATGTCCGTGGGTTGTCTTGTTCAACGGCGATCAGGACCGGAGAAATGTCCTTGAGATGAGCCATGCCTAATTCGGCATCATGGTTTGACTAATAGGGATCCTCACCACTAAGAAACCTAGACTTTAGGAGCCTCATCGTGCCCAAACTAGATGGGGGAGAAGGGGGATGTTCCTATCTTGGCTGCCCAATAAGATAGAGCCGAAAGCCAAGCATTACGCGGGAAACCCCGTTGGCGGTTAGCGTAATAGGCTGGATGGAAACATTGACGGCGAGAAAGCTCTGATCGGGCCAGTAGTATGATAAGACGGGATATAGCAGAAGAGCGCAAAAATTGCTGTTGAACCGTTCGACGTCCGAATCTGTGGCGTTGCTCCGCTGCGTATGGGCGGACGAGCAGACGCGTCTTGGCAAGGATATCCCATCCTTTAAGCCGCCGGGGCCCCATTGTGGCCGCGGTCAACGTCATCCAATGCAACGGCGTCAAAACGAAAACCGTTCGATATGGCATGGGCGCGTCAAAAAGGGACAAGGGAAGTAAAGTGTGGGGTGGGGGGTCAGGGTGATATGGAGAAGATTCAAGCCAACACGGCTAGTTTCCCAGTGGCCAAGACAAAGACTTCTGAATGGAGTATACTGTATACCCTAACGAGGTTGCAGCCTTGCTGGAACACACGGAGAAGGGAAATAATCGTAAAACAATAGAGATTCGGTGACCGGTGGCGTTTGCAACTATGTTGAGCCTCTGACTCGGAAAAAGCAACGTCAAGCCTCCAACGGCGGTGGAAATTGTTTGATGTTTGCAGGTCCTACCGTCCTAGCTGCAGCTCGTCTGGCTCCCCCGCGCAAAGCTGTCTTTGAGACGCGCTTGCTGGGAAGTCTCGGACTCAGTGCAACGGTAACGCCGCATGTTTTTGCCAGTCCCACGTGTGTTGGGCGGCGTTCACTGCGTTGGAAGCCCCCTATCGTGGGGTTAAGTGCCATTGACAGCGGCGAACGTTGGCTGATCAGGGGAAACACATCGTCAAGATTCGGGACGAAAGACGCGAAGAGAGACCCAAGAGTTGACGAAGTGCGAACATGGGACGGCAAGACCAAGACCTGGTTCCGAATGTAGGATCACCCGCAGTATCTCGATTATCGATGACGAGGGAGGGGCTGTTGCGAACAACGGAGTACGTGGAAATCAACCATCAAGCAGCTTCCACGGCTGGAATGGCAACCAGAACCGAGAGCGAGCGCTTCTCGTGTGCCGGATCAGCACGACTCTTTTCCTCTTGGTAATTAGACTCTGAATTCAATCTCGTTATCATCTTGCAAGCGCGCAAAGTATGCTTGATTAGAAGAAGCTCCCGTCAAGTCTCCGTAGCGGGCTTAGGCGCCATTTGCGGGAAGCACCATCGGACTGCGATTGCGTACGTAGTCCCTGGCTCCCTGCGGGGGGCCAAGGGAGTATCAATGGTCAGTAGGCACGCAAAGAGCAGGGGGGGTTGGTACACTCAAGACAGGAGAGGGGCGGTTGGCTGGCCGTTGGTGACGGAGAGATAGGTATGGAGATAGCGCGAGAGAGAGAGACAGACAGAAGAGGGACGCCTGACGCAGGTGAGATGCTAGCCTCGTGTAGGTTGGCAGGATCCATTATGCAAGTGAGAAGAGGAAGAAAGAACGGAGCCCTCCCCCGATAGCTATACACCCTTGTCTTTGTGTCCTGTCGAGCAAGAAGGGAGTGGGGTTTGGCGGCGTTGACAGGGTACGAGAGCACGAGGGGAGGCTCATGTGCTTGTCAAAGATGTCGGCTGGCGATGTTTTGCTGTTGGGTTTGTGGGTACATGTATCTGAAGCAGGGGGGTATGATGGGTGATGGATGATGGGTGATGGATGATGGGTGGTTGAAGATGGAGGAGTATCGATGTATGGTATCATGGAGGATGGAGGAGAGGAGGATGAACTGTGGACAATGGCAGAAAACATCGCAAAGTGCCAATGGCAAGAACCTCGCCTCCGAAACTTCCCCTGTCACCCAATGATCCACCCATTCAGACTTTACTCCTTCTTCCCCTTCCCAAGATCCCAAGTTCCCAAGTCTGAGTCTGTCCTGCCACCCCTTCACCCCTGCTTGGCCGCGCAAGCCTCATCTCTGGATGCTACCTCTTTTAGAGCCCACCAGCGTGGCCCCCCGCAAGGGTGCGTTAGCGGACAGTGCACAGCGCTAGACAAATGCCGGTTCCCGCATTGCATGGCACTACTACCGGAATGTCTTAGCTCACCGGCGCCAGGGGCTACCCTGAGCCGCCATTTCGACGACGACGACGACGACGACCACAACCACGGACTGCAACTTCCTCCCAGCCCAAACCTCGTCCGCTCACTACACCTACACAGTACTCCGTTCTCGCGGGATTCAATCCGCGGGTTGCCCAGTGTAACGACGACATCGCCGCTTGCAGCAAACTTCACCTCATCGACGGAACGACACTCTGCTATCTTCCTTGAACCCACCATCATCCAACTTCAACCACCTCAGAATAGCGAGAACATGTCACCATCAAGTAACATCATCTCGTCGATAACACCGTACCGTCATCCGGAGATTCGCCGCCATCGCCGGATCTCCATTTTTGTTCGTCTCCCATGGCCGGAATAGGCAATAAAGTCTTGGCATCTCCAACCTCTCCATCACGGTGCTGCCGAAGTCGCTCGCATCAAATTTCGCCTCTGCCCCTCTATACCCCCCTTCGAGATAACCTTCTTCCAGAGTTCAGCTCGACGGGTCATCGATCGCCGTTCGTTGGTGTGTACTTTATCGGTTGCTCCCGAAATTCATTCATGGGGGGATTGCGAGCTCCCAAAAAGCAACAGTGTATATGCTTAATCCTTAGACTCTCTGGATTGCCTGCCGCCTCTTCGAGGTTCATGCCGAACATTCTCGCAATCGATCCACTGATACGATGGTATAGGAACTCTAACCTAGTCGTATAGGTCACATGCCGGCCACATAACGGCTGGCTTCCTTTGCTCAAGTGAGAAGAGCGAATGATTCAGACATCTGCAGAGCTCAGGGAGTCCATGGGCCAATATTTCATCTGCCGAACCGAATCACGTCCCAGCGTCTACTACCTCGAAGAAGCGCTGTCTTTGTGGTAGGACTCGGCGAATACGGCCCAGACGCAATACATACGATCACTTGCTTTCACCGCCGTTTCCCCTGGATCGAATACTATGCTCTTGACTCCTGACACGCCCGCAACCCGTACACCTGCAGCAGACCATCTAAGCAACCCCTTGGGTTTCTCCGTCACAATATCCTAATGCGAAGCAGTCACTATCACAGGATAGTCAGGTCCACAAACAAAATTTCCGTGTGCTCTCATCACGGCCTTCGGCCACCAACAAGTCTTGGTCCGTGTGTTCCGGCCATAACCATCGACTTGGCGGATTCTCGGCCTCGGGCCATGATCGTTCACCGAGATATCCCGCCCCGTGCTCCATGGTCTTGGCACAACTGCACCCCGCTTGCTCTATGCTCTTTTCTCTAATTTTGACTTTACGGGAGCATCCGCACGAGCCGCATGAGTCAAATACGAATTGAAAATCGACAGCTTTTTTACTTTTTTGCCCTTCGTAAGCGGCATGGGTGTTAGACAACTGCGGTTTACGAGAGTTGCGAGGAGCCCGTGATAGCACGAGCTGGCCAAGCTAATGGCCTCTCCGTCCGATTTTTCTGCTATTCATCGAAATGAGCGGCAGGGAATGCAATACGACGACGCTATAACAAATCGCATTGAATATTACGAAGAACGGATCCAGCCACTTCTCCGATATGCCGACATAGAGACTAGAGAGGGAGCGAGGCCTCGCGCTAGCAGCTGACCCAAGGATCGGGCGGCTACGGTGGATTAGACAACCATTCCAAAACTCCAAGGCTCGAAAATCAAAAATGCGCATCTGAAGTATCGACTGCCACCTTCAATTTGCCACCGGCCTCGTCTCTTGCTTTGGTGCTTGGATGGTACTTCGGTCTTGCCCCGCTATCGTCGGTTGTCAAAGCTGGATAGGCGAGTTTCTGGAGGACCCCTCCATTTTCATCCGCGGTTCCCGCCATGCAGACAACCTTTTTTCTGCCAAGAGACGCAGGAACTCACACCGGAAACTGACAGTTGACAGTTTCTCACGATAGCAACATGCTGGCTACTGCTCCCAAACAAGGTTGGCTATCCGGTGTGTACACGCGTCCATACGTCCAGGGCAAGACTCGATATTCGATATGCTTTTCGAGGGGGGCAGCTGAAAAGGGCGGGAAGAGGGGTGCTGAGGATGATCCGGACCAGGCCGAAAGGAATAGACTTGTACAGCGCCCTCGGCCTGACGGGATGGCGGGACCGCCCGCAAGAGCTCTTAGCAGGGGATATGATGCATCTTGAGCTGAGGGCTGCTCAAATTCGACATCGCGATGGCCGATCACCAAAGGCTGAGAGATTTGGGGCGGTGTCGTCTTACACCATCCTTTCCCTACACCCCTCGCGTTCGTTCCCCTGGCGGAGACACGCAGGCGTCAGAACAATTCTTGGAAAAACGCGTTTTCGGGGCGTGGCTCTTCATCTAAGGCTAAGCGGGCCGAGTAGATGCCCATATCAGTATCTGTACGCCACACCTATTGTTGTCCCCTGCCCGGTAAGTACAGACTGACATAATATGACATTTGACAGGCCTGATTCCAAAACAACGGTCAAATGAAAACAGATGAAAGCCGAGAAGGGGTTACATATTTCCGCTGCAGACTCTTGAGGGGCGTCAGCTTACAGACTGTAGACAACGGCGTTAATAAGAAAGTCCAGGAACAAGGGAGCCCACGTCTGGTTCGGTTCATCGCGGCAGTGTCTGCAGGTATGCTTGTAGCTTGACCGGATATATTGAATCCACAAGGCAAGGGTAAGAAGTCTGACAAAGAATGCGCCTTACACGATGACAAGCTGCGAAAACCATTTCAAGCGGTCCAATGGGGATATGTCGAACAAGGGCTTCCGACAACGACGTCCGGAGCCTTGGGCAGAAAACCTGACGACTTCCAGCTCCTTGGAAAGTGGAAATCGAAACCCACGTTGACACGCCTCGGTTCTGTCTGCCTATCTACCAAACTGCCATGGTTCTCGCGTAAATACTCGCAGGGTACTCCACTCTGAAAGGCGAACAAACTCGAGAGGGCAGAAAAACTTCCAAGCAGTCCGCAGATAGGCAACGGGACCTGAATAGGTAATGCTTCTCCGGTGTCAAACTAGGGTGGACAGAGAGGTAATGCACATGCAACATGCAGAAGCACTAAATTATCGGTTTTCTGTGTCCGCGTGACTATCCGTACCTCTCACAGCCCGTCCCCAACGCAAGGCTGCAGCCTGGATAGCCGACAAACAAGACTAACAGAAACCCATACAACCCATGCATCGCTTGACGCTTGAAAATAGGGCTTGAGACGCTACTTCATCATCCATGCCGGGTAAAGATAGATTATCTTTATCAAAATGCCCTGTATCCAGAACCCTTGGATAGAAAACAAGCCTTTTTCATTTTTTGACCTTGTCGGCCCTGGCGGCAGCAACCGAGGCGGGGGGGACGCGTATGTAGTTTAAATGAGCTGAACGAGACACGAGACCCAACGATAACAACCGAATCATCCGTAAACGAGGGACCAGTCAGCGTTTGAACTGTGAGAGTTTCATCGAGAAGTGTTTATCGGTTTTTGCGGGTTTTCATTGCCTGGGATTTACGAGATCTTGGGAAGTCCTGCGAGCCGAGATGCATCTTCATCGATGATCGAGGCAGTGAGGCCCAACATGGCACACACACACACATATACGCGCATACACAACCTTGACATAGCTCACGCAGGCGCACATACACACACACTTTCTGTATCTATCTGTCTTCTTACAATTCTCACCCTCGAGCGCCTACGTGCCTCAGAGAAGCGTCAAGCATACGCAGCCAGTGGGCGACGGGCGCTTAACCCTAAGCGTTCCTGCCGCCTAAAATATAGGCAAGAGAAGCCAGCCAGAGAGAGAGAGAGAGAGAGAGATGAGAGCGAGAAAGAGGAGAGGAGAGTACGGTTACACAGTAAAGAGATAGAACCTTGAAGGCTTGAACCGGCGGTCAATGGACGTCGTTCTGCTGGGGAAACCCCACATCCCGGGACATGTTGCCCGCGGACCGCCCTTCCCCGGGGGTTAAGAAACATAAGGTGAGGTAAGGTACTGGTAAGGTAAGCACCTCCCGTGCCACATGACTGGGGTGGCCGGTGCGTGCAGAAACAAAACGGAGGTAAGTTTGAATCAAGTACTTTTAGCCAACCGACCTTCTTCAAATGGACTAAACATCTCCGTCACCAGATGTTGTTTTTTTCTTGATTTTGCTTTCTTGCTATTGTTGTGTGGTTGGTCTTTGGAGGAAAAGATCGTCAGGAACTACTAGAACTAAGGGAAGGGGGAAGGGGGAAGGGGGAGGGAAAGGCAAGGGGGAGGTGGGAAAAGAGTGCCGCTAGCGGGCCGTTCGGGCTGGCGGGGGTAGGTACGGGCGGGGAGGGACTGGGCCCCACAATCCGGGAGGCGCGCCCTCCGTGTCCGGGTCTTTTGGACTGGAACTTTACGGAGTATCGCAGGCAGGAAGGTAGATTGCGGAGGGCAGAGAAGATAAGGCTGGGAATCATGGCGAAGAGTAGACTGCAGTAACATCAAGAGTTTCACATGCGAAAAAAGAGTCGCTCGAGGTTGAAGAGAGAAGAGATAGGCATACATTTTACAAAGGACACTACTGAGGAACGCGGGGCGGAAACCCACAATCCGGATCCCGAGCCTATCAACCCCTGAGCACTAGGTATCACATCCGCGGCGTGAATACAGAGGGAGACACCTGAACATTGAATCGAAAACTGTCAAGATGGCTCATCTGAACAAGGTTCAATAGTTTCGATTACCTCTATTGTAATTCAAATTGACTTCTTTAGTAAGATGCAACACCAGAGAACATTTTCTCGCCGGGGGGGATCGGGGCGGGACATCGCGACCTCACTCGGCCGAGACATTTGCCCAGCCAGGTCACGAGAGAAACTCACGAGAACGGTGAACCCACATCCCGCTTGCGCGCCAACGGACTCAAGACGGAAATATCACGCAGAAAGTCCGACGGGCGGATTCACGATAGGACAATTTCCACAGAACATCTCGCCATCCGTCTCATTCGCGACTCTTGTCGTTTTCTCAGCATGTTATTATTGAGGCACATTTCAAAGATATTGACTACACCGTTTCCAGTGTGAATTCAAGAAAGCTCATCAGACATTTAATATTCAGTTCTCAAATACATTAATCATGAAACGATTAACCATTAGAAAAAATGGAATTCATCGTCAAGATCATCAAGACATCATCCAGCCATTCTCAGTGAACGCCTCCCAAATAACCAAGAAATCTCAAAAAGAAAAAAAAAAAATCATGACACTCTAATACCGTTCCCGTGAAACATATGGTCCGCGTACACTCATCGTCGTAGAATCATTACACGCACATCCCAAGTCATTAGTTGAAGAGACGCTTGAACACGCCCTTGATCCCTTTTGACTTCTCCTTCTCTTTAGCCTTGTCGTCCTCCCTCCTC